ACAAAATACAATCACAAATTAAATAAAAGGTAGCAGAAGAAGAAAAATATCTGCCCCTTTTCTCACTAAACAAATTCAGTCAAAAAATAAACTTCAAATACCAAACAAAACATAAAGAAAAAAACAAACCAAAGAAAAAAAAAGAAAATAAAGGTTTAACTTATTGCGCAACAAATCTAACATTATAACATTTTATATTTCTCCAACAGATTAACATTTATCATTCTCTTAAATATACACACTGATCTGATAAAAATAAAAGCATAACCGAAAAAACTTGTTTCGCTGCACATTCAGCATCTAAGTTAAACTTTTAGGCACTTTTGTTTTGAATGTTTGTATTTTAAGTCGCCGCACATTTATTCCACTTTATTTTAGCTCTGAGTCGAGCTGTTTGCTGTAGAAACAGTCATAAAAATGAGACGTGGAGCTGAGAATTTTCTGTCAATTTTTCCAACTTAAAATGTCAAACAGTTTAAATGCTGCATTCAGTTTTTTTCAGAGGAAGTGATGAATTACTGGGAAATAAAATGCTCCAACAACTCATTTTATTGTGGGAACCAAATAATGACCTGTCTTCATTAACTCAAAGGGTTCATACATAAATGTATAAATACAGAGCAATGAGTAAGAATTTATTTTTCAATAATAATAATATTTATTTTAATATTAATTAATAATCTGTATTTCTAGAGGCCACATCTGAATATATTTTTCTTTAAAAGTTTGGATTATAAACCACTTGGTTTGTGATGATCTGCAGCAGGTTTTAAATGATCTCCTTTTTGTCCGGACACCTGTCTGCTTCTCTTCTCTCTGTGGGTCAGGACTGTTATCAGATCAGCTGGGACTAAAACTGAGAYTGATTATCAGTTTGAACGTTTTACAACCAGATCAAATTGAACCATGTTGTGCAGATAAGAGGGGTAACAATGCTCAGTTTATAAAAACTGTTTTGTCAGATCGATCGATGACATCGTTACTCAAACATGTCTGTTAAAACGATTATGCATCAAAATGAGTCGCTTGTCAGGAATAATGAGCTAACAGTTTTTAAACTTGCTGAAAATGAGCTGTTTCAAGAGCAGAAGCTGTAAGATAGACACCTTCAAGGAGCAGCTCTCAGATCCTATTCAACACAAACATGCAGCTGATGTCCTTTCTCTTTTTTTTTATTTCCCCCCCATCTCAGTGATTAACAGTTTTTTCCTCCTCATCGAACATGAGTCTGTCTTCAAACGTCTGGAGTGGTGGCGCAGACGTTCGAGAAGATGAGTCTGTGATCAGAATGTCTCCCCGAACCAACCAGCCCCACTTTTGGGCCCTTGAGCAAGGCCCTTAACCCCCCAGCTGCTCGCCGGGCGCTGTAATTGGCAGCCCACTGCTCCATGTGTGTTCACATGTGCCATAGTTAAAAAGCAGAGAATTAATTTCCCCTCTGCGGGACGATAAAGACTAATAAAATCTTAAAAAGAAATTAAAAATTATCCCTTGAGTGAAAACTGTTTTTAAAAAAGCATTGTATTCTACAGAGGGAGAAACTCTGATCATTTATCCTCTGCAACACAATATTTCAGTTGTATATGAGAAAATATTCAAATTTATTTTGGTAGTACATTAAGTTTTTAGCATCAAATGTTTATTTGAAGTTTAATTTTCAGTCAGGGAGTGACAGACAGGTGGGGTTACCATGGTCACGTAATGATCCACTGACTGCAGCTTTAATGTACGGACTGAAACAAAGTTTTTATGTTGGGATTTTGAGCAGCAGCAAATGTTTTCAAATGTTCTTTATTTCTGATTTTTCTTTTTTTACATATTTGATTAAATGTCAGGTCATCGGGATTTTCCTGGCGTGCTGCCTGTCTCGTTACATCACCAACAACCAGTATGAAATGGTCTAACGCTCGCCTCCGCAGGTAAGGATGTTACCTGCTTCACTTCAACAGATTCATGTTCAGGTGAGCYGTTTGTTCCAACCTGTCCTCTCTGTCTGCAGGTCACTCGCCTGATGAAACCTGATTTGGGATTTTAATATTTGTCGGAAACATTTTAGTCTGAGGAAGAAAAAAAAAGAAAAAGAAAATCACCAGTAAGTCGAGCAGAAAGGGAGACAACTGCAGTTCTGTTTGACCAAATGGAGACAAAAGGGACCGAGACATTTCAGAAACTTGTTACTCTTTAGATTTAATTATAGACAGCTTTTTGTTGTGTAGTCGTCACTTTTTAAGTTTTTGTTGGACGTTTTGTTCGTGTCTCGCAGCTGCCTTATTTTTGTAAATCAGTGGAGAGTGAGTTTGTAAAAGGTTTGTGGAACTGGACGAGACGTCGCCACCCTGGAATCAAGACAGTAAAAGGAAAGAAAAATGTAAAATGAAATAAAATAATGAGCCTCCGTGATGATGTGGGCCAGTACCTGCTGCCATCTGCAGCTTAACCTTATCATTCAGTATTTGTGTTTTTGTTTCTTTTTGTGAATGCATGTGGGAAAAAATAAAAATGAAATTCTGTATCTTTAAAAGCGTGTTCAGCTGCTTCTGTTCCCGGGGTTGTAACGAGAGCAGACAAACGACCTGGCAGGAAGGAGTTTTAATCTGAAAAACAGAATCTGAGATGCTTTTAGTTTTTAAACACATTTTGAAGACACAGTAACTAATTACAACCTCCTGTCTTATGAGAGTTTAGAAGCAGAAAATTAAGTCATTTAGTTTTGTTTTTTTTTTTTTGTCTTTT